GATGTTGATCTTCTGTGCTGGGCCATCCTTTTGGCCAGTGGCTGTTTTGTTTCCCCGATGTAAGACTGATCACAGCCCTCCTGACACTGAACAGCATACACAACATTACTCTGTTTGTGCCGGGGGACTGGATCTTTGGGATGAACCAGTCTTTGCCGTAATGTATTTTGGGGTTTAAAAGCCACTGGGACGTTATGTTTAGAAAATAAACGTCTCAGTTTCTCTGATACTCCCTCAACATATGGAATGACCACTGGTCTGGGTCTGGGTTCCTCCTTTTCACCTGTTGGCTGACTGGAGTCCTGTTTGGGTTTCTTCTCTGCTTTTAGGAAGGCCCAGTTAGGATATCCACATTGCTCTAGGTGTACCGCAAACCCACCCACACAGACCAGTATTTGCAGTTTGACTCCCATCACCCTTTGGAGCACAAGTTAGGAGTCATCAGGACTCTGTATCACAGAGCAGACAGCATCCCCACTAGCTCAGGAGCCAGGCAGAAGGAGAAATCCCACACAAGACAGGCGTACGTGTCAACTTTGAAGAATGACGATGAACCGGTTTGATTTCAGCACCGTGTGCAGCACCAGCTGGAGTCCCTCTTCACTGAAGCTGCAACGTGGCTCCAAAGTACAATTGTTCCTACCATAAGGTCATTCCCAGTCTGAAACAGTCCCGTGTTCTGGTGATCCCGAAGCTGCGGGTTCGAGCCCAGCATGTGTATCGAGGTCAAACCAAAAGATCTTTAATGCAGATTCACACAGGAAAATCCAAGGACATTTTCACCTGTAAAAAGAGCATGCAGCAATAATAAGAAATTAAATATTAATTTGAAAATGTTTAGTCAACATTAATAATAATATAAACTCAAATGTTTGTTTAAAAAATAATTTAGCACAAGTAAGAAAAACTTTTGCTCATGAGGTATTTATTTTTTAAGTAACACCAAAATAAAGCTGATAAATGTCTCATCTCAACAACACACTCCTTCATGTAAAAATAAAAATAGTTCAAGATAGAAATTAAAGTGCCCATTTCACACACACACACACACACACACACACACACACACACACACACACACACACACACACACACACACACACACACACACACACACATACACATACACACACACACACACACACACACACACACACACACACACACACACACACCCACACACACACACACACACACACACACACACACACACACACACACACACACACACACACACACACACACACACACACACACACACACACACACACACACACACACACACACACACACACACACAAAGCAAATTCCAAGAAAATAAGCAATATTCCAAAATGTCATCAAATTTCACCTACATATAAATTGCTTTGTGTTTGCTAGATCACAGCATGGTCGCTTCCACTCTTGTGGTACAACATCAAATATCTCAAATCAAAAAGGGGAAACCAACTTTCAAAACGGTGATAAAAGTGCAAAAACAACATTCTTAAGGATTAAAATCTGAATGAAGCGCTTCATTTTCAAAAATAGCCTGTTACAATCATAGACAAATGGATTTTAAATATTCATCACTTTAAAAACCAGAAACGTAACTGGGTAAACTGGTGCAAAAATCATTAACAGTCAACTGTCGGCGGAGTACAAAGACGTATAAAGACCCAATATCAAACCCTGATAAACATTTATTTATTTCAACAATGAAAAATAAAAAAAAAAACTGAAAAAATAAAATAAAATTCTCCTTCATTTGATTTTAGCACTAGAACTAAAATGTGTCACTTTCCTCTGACGGATCACAAGTACAGACATTTTTTGATGTTTAACTTTGAAACTTTGACACCAAGTTTCACAAATTTACACTGAAAAGACATCTGGTATAACATTAGTGACAGTTTACTCTGGCTCAGAAATTAAACTTACATTAACTAGTAGATTAAAATTAAGGCATAGAATAATGAAAACCCAAATTAATTAATTATTAATTAATTAAGGCTAATTTATCTGTCAAACAGTGATTTTCCACTTGAGCCTGATCCATTTCTCCATCTTCTTTACCCAATATGTGCAGGGTGGTGAACTGGTGCCCATCTTCAGTGATTATTGGACACTGGTGACCTGTGGACAGGTCCACCAGTCCACCACAGGGACACACAGATGAATGGAACTACCACTTAATGAGAATTCAGCGTTACCAATTAGGACGCATGTTTTTGGTCTGTGGGAGGAAACCGACGTACCCGAAGAAAACCCAAACGACACAGAAAGATGGCGGCGGAGTTTTGAACGAGTCGTGAAGCAGCACTTGAAACCCACTCCACGCAAACCAATAAAACCCTTTCACTTTATTTAAAACGAGCAAGGTGCTTCTTGATCGCAGCAGGATCCTTCAGCACTCGATCTGAGCTTGCAGCTGCCTCCTCACGGTGAGCGAACGGCGGCGGAGGTGCTGCATCAGCTGCACGTGGCCCTGTTGGCGAGCCAGGTTCTGCGGCATGGGGTAGCGCTGGCAGCCGTGGAGGTACCTGTACGGGATGCGGACGTGACAGGCCGCTGCTCGGCAGCGCGGCTCGGGCAGGGGCGGAAGCAGCGTCCAGCACTTCCTCTCGGCGCAGTAACGGTACGCCTCTTTGCGGTACTGCTTCTCCAAGCTGCCGCCGTTCCTCCACCCGCCGATGACGAAGACGTCGTCGCCGAGGTTGCAGATGGCGGCGCCTTCCATGCAGAGAACCTCCGAAGGGAGGCTGCCGAGGATGTCGTCTGAGACGCTTCTGCTCATCATCTGCTGAGCGTGCTCGTGCGATACTTTGTAGTTCTTGGGACAGCACGAAGCGGTGTGGTAGAAGTTTGTGTTTGCAACAGACATTTGAAAACTACAATAATTGTCAATCAGAGGCAGCGACTGCACTTCCTGCCACTTGTGACTCTCTGTATCGTAGCATGCTGTCACGGTGATCAGCCCGTCGTCTTGGTCTGCGTCTACTGGCGTCCTAGCCATCACGTACACGTAGCGATCCTCGACACTCACCGTCTTTACGTCTCGTAAGATCATTGGCGCGGGCTCAAGACTGGCCCACTGGTCCAGCTCAGGTTTGTAGACCGTGACGTCTTTAAAGCCTGGACTGAAGTTTCCATGACCACCGATGCTATAGAGAACGTCTCTGACGCACGTGAGGCCGAAGGAGTGCTTGCGCATGGTCAGGTTGCTCACCTGCTCCCAGCAGTTGAGGCTCGTGTTGTAGCGCTCTGCCATCCTTGCAAAGCCAGGCTCCATGGAGCCCGCCACGTAAACATGGCCGTCGGTCACAGAGATGGCGTGTCCATCCAGGTAGTTGTGAATGTGCGGCAGGTTGACCCAACGATCCTCAGCAACGAAGTAGCCCACGCACTCACTGAGGTACTCGCCACCCTCTGAAACGCCGCCGATCACCATGATCACGTCCATGTTCTGGCCGAGGCGTGGCTGGACCGCGCCCACGATGGAGGAACAAAGCTCTTCGGTGGCCGACTTGAGGCTTTCGGAGCGAACGGCGTGAAACTCCAGCGCATCGAGCACCAGCTGCTGACACGGAGCGCTGTTCGTCACCAAGGGTTCCTTTTTCACCACGCGCGTCAGGTAGGAAGGAGCAATCTGCGGCAGCCTTAAAAGTTTAAACAGCTCTTCGAAGTACTTCTCCCGCTCCTCGGAGTTCTGGCGGACCCATTTCACCATGACCTGGAACAGCTCCTGCTCAGAGTCCACGGTGATGTCCGTGTCCGACAGCCAGTCTCGCACCAGGTGGAACGGCAGCGTGCAGAACACCTCGTTGCACACGCTTTTGTTGAAGTTTCTTCTGATTGTCCCGGCGGCTTTCAGGGCGAGCTGCTCCAGAGAGTACATGTGAGCCAGGCTGTGCACGGCCACACAGTTGGACAGGCTCAAATTCTTCCCCAGAAACTCGGCGCAGAAGCTCTTCAGCTGCTCCAGCAGAAACCTGATTAAAGAAGATTTGGAGAAGTTTTAATTACAATCTTTTTTTTTGTGTGTCGTTGACTGAGCTGTTGGTCAGTTAATGGAATAATCATTAAAAATGCATGTCGTCACATGACCCCAACAAAAGGAAACGGTTCCCGTAACCTGAGATAGTTTCAAAGAAAGTTCAAATAAGCAAAGTTTGAAGTTCTGAACGGGTCAGTTTAACCAAAACGTGAAATTAAAACTCAAATTTAACAACGAGCGTCCAATACAAATGCATTGATACACGTTATAACTGCCGGGTAACTGAAAATACAACGTTCAATAGTTTCAGAGAAATAAATGAAAAGTAAAAAAAAAAAGAAAATAATGCAAAAATAACAAACTCTCTAAAAATAGAAACAATAAGTCTGTAAATAAAAAACTTAAATATGGATAACGACAAATTACTACAACAAAAACTGTAATACTGTAATAAAATGTCAAGTTATACTAAAATTAATAGAGTAATAACCGCTTGACATTTTTATTATTTTATTGCAGTTGTTCGCAGGATATTAAATTTAGTATATTGTTTATTTTCTGTAAACATGGCGGTTTCAGACTTCCATATACCGTATTTTCCGCCGTAAACGTTGCATCTGTCCAAATATGTCTAATAAATTGGAAAAATGCATAAATACTGTATGTCTAGGCCTGTCACGATAACAAATTTTGTTGGACGATTAATTGTCTCAGAAATTATTGCGATAAATGATAATATTGTTTGAAATTTGAAAATAATTAGTAATTATTGTCAAATTGAAGAAGACATGTTGGTTAATTTGTTTTGCTGTAGTAACTTTTTTCAACCACCAGATGGCAGTATAAGACTGTTTGAACCGAAGGATGGATAGTGAGGGAGAGAGCAGCGTGTCACTAAGAAAAATGGGAGGGAGGCCCCTTGATGCGTCATGGGTTGTCTCTCTTCAGTTCTCAAAAAGGCGGACGCTCGGTGTGGTTTGAGCTATTTAGCATAGCATTTTTCACAGAAAGCTTTCAATTAAAAAAAATAAATAAATCAGTAAACAAGTTCACAGCTTCTTTTTTGCAGAGAAAAACTTTTTTACACCAAGGCACGGGTTTCAACCGTGAATTGTGGAGCTTCGACAAGACGGAGGTTTTTTTCTTAGGTTGGCCTGTTAGCTTAGCTTCTCAGCTTAGTAGTAGAGAGAGACACGATGAAACGATAAAGCCAATAAATGAAAATGAGGTTGATAATTTTCATTTATCATGCGATTAATTGATTTAATGTTTATTGCGACAGGCCTAAATATGTTGCGTCGCCGTATACGTCGCATCTTTTATGCGTCACCGCTGATATGTCGCGTTTGTTACGCGTCACTGCTGCCAACCTGGAAATGTGGACCGAACCCGGAAGTGTAGGCCGGTGTTGTGCCAAAAATCAATTGGCTGCCAAATGGCGGCTGTGGAAGCGTGCACAGGAGGACTTTAACAAGAATTTAACAAGATTAACACTTAAAAACAATTATTTGTTTGCTCAAAATTATAGCAAATGTGTCTCGGTTGAACTTTTACTCAATAAATGCACTTTAATGGTCAAATTAGCTGCATTTCACCTGGGCGGCGCAGAGAAACGAAGCCGATATGATGGTTGCTCCAAGCAGCGAGTAGAACGAAGGTGGCAGACAACGGCAAGCAGATTGCGTCATTAATAGCTACTTTTACCTATCACATGATATAACGGCATGTCTTACTACTCTGCTGCCATCTAATGGCTGAAAATGGTAGTGTTCAATATTTTCAGTCAGAATTAATGAAAACAGTCTTATCTCAGCCAAAAATTAGTTTATAAATATGGAAAAACATCCATAAATATGTCGCTTCAGTGTATAAGTCGCAAGGCATGTAAATTATGCAAAAACAATGCGACTTATAGGGTGAAAAAAAAAGGTAATAGGACACTGCTGTAGAGATGATTTAGGGAGTACTGAATCTCTAGAATCAGTTCATTAAAATGATTCATTCAAAAGATTCATTCACTGAATCCTTGAGTTCATGCGGGACGTGCGTGACACAGCACCACTTCCAGCACAGAACTACAGGAACGAGTCACTCCTCAGTGGCAGTTCTTTCATTAACGAATCACTCCCTGCCCTCTCTGACACTCTCCTCTCTGTGTAGCCTACGTTCATGAGTGACATCACAGCAGCATGTTCAACGCAAGTCAGCTGTCTATTATTATTATTATTAATTAATTAATTAAATACAAACACCACATTGGCGGAGGTTATCCGGACCTCTCTGTTGTACATAAACTGGATCACGGTCTCCTTCAGCACTTTGGTTGGCCTTGTTGCTGCAAAGTGGTATGATATTAAAACTTTATTAAGGACACAGCATCTGGTCTATAAGAAAAATTGAAATAAAAATTGCAGAGTTTATCAATTAATGTAAAAAAAAAAAAAAGACAGGAGAGATTAAAAATAAATAAATACATTGCAGGCAGCTGTAGCAGAAAGACAATTAAACTGTCCAGACAACACTTTTCCTTCTTGGCTCATTCATCTTCACTTAGTGTCTCATATGGGGCCCAGAGGCCCAGGATGCTTCGATAGCGGCCTTAAGCTCATCCAGAGTGTTGGGTCTTGCGTCTCTCAACTTTCTCTTCACATTATCCCACAGGTTCTCTATGGGGTTCAGGTCAGGAGAGTTGGCAGGCCAATTATGCACAGTAATACCACGGTCAGTAAACCATTTACCAGTGGTTTTGGCACTGTGAGCAGGTGCCAGGTCGTGCTGAAAAATGAAATCTTCATCTCCATAAAGCTTTTCAGCAGATGGAAGCATGAAGTGCTCCAAAATCTCCTGATAGCTAGCTGCATTGACCCTGTCCTTGATAAAACACAGTGGACCAACACCAGCAGCTGACATGGCACCCCAGACCATCACTGACTGTGGGTGCTTCACACTGGACTTCTGGCATTTTGGCATTTCCTTCTCCCCAGTCTTCCTCCAGACTCTGGCACCTTGATTTCCGAATGACATGCAAAATTTGCTTTCATCTGAAAAAAGTACTTTGGACCACTGAGCAACAGTCCAGTGCTGCTTCTCTGTAGCCCAGGTCAGGCGCTTCTGCCGCTGTTTCTGGTTCAAAAGTGGCTTGACCTGGGGAATGTGGCACCTGTAGCCCATTTCCTGCACACGCCTGTGCACGGTGGCTCTGGATGTTTCTACTCCAGACTCAGTCCACTGCTTCCGCAGGTCCCCCAAGGTCTGGAATCAGCCCTTCTCCACAATCCTCCTCAGGGTCCGGTCACCTCTTCTCGTTGTGCAGCGTTTTCTGCCACACTTTTCCCTTCCCACAGACTTCCCACTGAGGTGCCTTGATACAGCACTCTGGGAACAGCCTATTCATTCAGCAATTTCTTTCTGTGTCTTACCCTCTTGCTTGAGGGTGTCAATGATGGCCTTCTGGACAGCAGTCAGGTTGGCAGTCTTACCCATGATTGCGGTTTTGAGTAATGAACAAGGCTGGGAGTTCTTAAAAGCCTCAGGAATCTTTTGCAGGTGTTTAGAGTTACGTCGTTGATTCAGATGGTTAGGTTCCCACTAAACATTAGACGTCTAATGGACGTCCAGATTACGTCTATATTGGGTCCGTTGGTCGAAGACCAATTCTGGACGTCCCCCCGATGTGTAAACAAGGTCCACTTTTGGACGTCTAACCATGACCGCATTTGTACATCAATATAACGTCAGACTTGGAGGTCATATAGACATTTTTTTTAACATGCATTTCCTCTATTCTTTTTTTTTTTTTTTTTTTTTTTTTACAAATTTTAGTAGTTACCTTATTATTTATTTGAAGATTATCATTATTAATGTTATTATTCAATTTTATTCCGTGTTGAATTACGGAGGTAACATTAATTTTCAGTAGGTGACGGTACTTATGAAGTTGTTTGCTTTCTGCCATAAAAAACACGAAGAAGAACTGTATTCGCTGGCTTCGGAACCCGAGCGTTACGATTGGATTGGCGGAGTAGCACGTGATCATGTTCCAACCAATCAACGCCACTCTTGCTGAACCGCGCTTCGTTCATAAACCAACAGTTAATATATTATTTTAATTTCTGTCGGTGCTCAGCTTGTGGTCATTTTTATCGGAGCTCATCTGTGTTCAGTTTGTTTGTCACGGAATTCAACTGCCTGCACTAAACTTGCTGCGATCCATTCAGAAGTTGAAGGTAATTGGTTATGTTTTGTCTGATTTATGTTTTAGCTTTGTTCTCTTACCTGTGGCTTGCTAAATAGTTTAGCTAACGTTTAAGCTAACGTGAGCTAAAACTTGTGTTTACGTCACTACAGCAGACGATTTAAGGCAAGTAGAACACTACAGGTTAGGAAATAAGTTATTCTAGTCTTTAAATAAGTTGCATATGCTACGAGGTTACGAGGTTTTATGTTTGTTTTTTTAGTTGTTTTTTTTTTTCTTTTGGAGGAGTCATGGCTTAGTCCACCCTTGCGTCTCCGTTAACACGCATGCGCTGACCAGCCAACAGCAATGGCCGTGTTGTATTTCGGAAGCATTCCTTTTTTGTGGATTTTACACCAACATTGCTGGAAAACTGCATTCGCTACAGTGCTTAATTCCTTAGTGTGTTACAACGCCATTGCTTCCCTGATAGTAAGTTATGACTAGGGAACACCTTCCCCCAACAGCTTTCCAAAGTGGAAAAAAAAAGTTTTGTTGGGTTTGATGGTTTCTGGGGCACGCCCTCTCCTGTGCCCGCCATTATTCCATCCGGGGGTCTTTCTGTGTGGAGTTTGCATGTTCTTCTGGTGCTTGCGTGGGTTTTCTCCAGGTACTCTGGTTTCCTCCCACAGATCAAAAGCATGCATGTTAGGCTGGCTTCAGGCCTCCCTTGAAAATGATCTGTGATCTCGATGAGATTTGCCTGGTTAAATAAACGTTAATAAATGATAAATAAATGTGTGTTAGTAAAGCAAGTGGACATTGTACAGAGACAAGTGTGAAGTGATTGGCAAAAAAATTCAAAGCCAACTATGAATATTTGCAGGGATGTTTTTTTTTTTTATTAATCCAGTATTAGGGGAGGCCCCAGCAAGACATTGTGCATTTTCCAGATTGCCTTTGCATATTACTAATTACTCATTTGTTTTTTGTGTTTTTGTCTTTTTTTTTTTTTTTTGCAAATGCAGATGGAATCATGAATGGGGACGCTGCAGCAACAGAAGGTTTTATAAGGACTCATGCTGCAGAGCATTTAAAACATGCGCCACAAAAAAGTGGAGGTGGAGGAAGTGGGCTCACACAGAACATTTAAAATGTGCCACAAAGAAGTGAGATGCAAATACAGGTGCCGGTCATAAAATTATATCATGAAAAAGTTCATTTATTTCAGTAATTGCATTCGAAAAGTGAAATTTCTATATTATATTCATTCATTGCACACAGACATATTTCAAACGTTTATTTCTTTTAATGTTGATTATAACTGACAACTAATGAGAACCCCAAATTTAGTATGTCAGAAAATTTGACTATTACTTGAGACCAATTTAAAAAACAAAAAAAAGGATTTTTATAAATGTTGGCCAACTGAAAAGTGTGAACATGGTACCATGGTCCTTGCAAAAGGAGCCCCAACCAAGTAATGAATGATATACATACTCATTTCATTTTTCATACTTTTCAGTTGGGCAATATCTATAAAAAAAATCCTTTATTTATTTTTTTATTTTAATTGATCTCAAGTAATATTCTAATTTTCTGAGATATATTTAGGGTATTCAGTAGTTGTCAGTTATAATCAAAACTTTAAAATATTTGAAATATCAGTCTGTGTGTAATGACTGAGTACAAGTTTCACTTTTTTAATGGAATTACTGAAATAATTCAACTTTATTCAAAATGTTATGACCAGCACACTTTAAAAAAAATTGCGTACGGTAATTGTGGTGAGGGGACTGTAATTTTATATAGCTTTTATTTCTCGTGTTGCTAGTTCAGCTATCCGAAAATGAAAATGAAGGCATGTTAATTTTTTTATTTTTTATGTTAAGTACAGACCAAAGCTATGTGAGCTGTGTATTTTTATAGATTTGTTTGTGTACATTGTGTTTTGCCACCAGTTGATAAGCTCCCTGTTAATTCTAAATTTTTTATTTTTATTTTTTTTTTTAAAGGTACTTAAGGTGGACTTTTTTTTTTATTTTTTTTTATTTTTTTTAGTTTTTGCCACCAGTGTTACGCTACTGTTCTGTTAATCCTTTAAAATGTGTTAAATAAAGATGATAAATGAAAAATTTAAGGAGTGATTTGTAAACTCTAATCCAACTGTTTCTAGGACCATGTTTCCTGCTGCACAATGGGTGGTCAAATGAACTATTTCCCAACTTCAGTCGCAGTTTTAAAGTACTTTTCATATGCATAGCATAGAAGCAGCATTTTTTAAGTGTATAAAAATACACTGCTCAATATAATAATATAATATTATAATATTTAATACAATAATAATTATTATAATACAATATAATAAGAGCCTATTTAAAATAATAAATATAATTAGTTGACTTGGAAAAGACGTCTATATTAACATGTCCGATAGACGTCGAAACTAGACGTCATTTAGACGTCCGAAAAAAAGACTTCTGGCGTCACAGTCTGCACCTCCGACCCAGTTTAGACGTGCAGAAACGACTTTAAAAAGACGTTGTTTAGACGTCTCCTTGCACAGTGGGTTAATAGCTTGTTTAGAGAACCTTTTCATGATATGCTAATTTTTTGAGAAGGATTTAGCTTTGCGAAACACGCCACTGCCCCAGGGAGGAGGAAACGGAATCACTCAGGACAGAGTCAGAGAGATTCGTTCGCTGAGTGATGCATGTAGTTTATTTGCAGTGAATGAATCAAAAGTCACATTAGGTCAGGCTCATGGCACGTGCTGCAGACTCATGTCACGAGTGAGTCCCAGAACGCGGAAGTTTCACTCCCGACCAGCTCTCCTGAGCTAAACTGAACCGAGAAAAGGAACGAATCGGTTAATAAAGTGATTCGGTTCAGTTTGTTCGTGAACGACGCAACACCAAGTGCTACACACCTGGATTATTGAGCATGGACTTTGTTGTTAAATGCTACATACATTTTCTGAGCAGAAAATGACAAATAATCCAAACATACTGCGGGTCACTTGTGACAGACATCTCAGGTTACATAATAAACACAAATGTTCCCAGACTATGTCAATAGTCACCTGTCAGCAAGTTCCAACACCTCGTGGACGTTGGCGGAGGTTATCCGGACCCCTCCGGTGTACATGAACTGGATCACGGCCTCCACACACTCCGGGTCGGGCCCCGCCGCGGAGCTCCACTCCTTTAGCTCCACCCGCCCGGTCTGAGACTCCGAGAACTGTCCGCCCAGCAGCAGCTCAAAATACTGCGAGGCAGCCGACAGAACCGAGCGGTGGGCGGGCACCGTCTGGACCCGCTCCCCGGAGACCCCCCTGGAGCTGAAGAGCAGGGTCAGGTCGCAGAACAGCCCCGCTTTCCTCTGCTCGTTCTGCCGCCGGCAGAGCTCCGAGCAGAGCGCCGGGCAGGTGAACTCCTCCGCCTCCTCCGGCTCGCCGTCACCTGTTACCTGCGCGCCGCCGCCGCTCTCCTCCGGCGCTTCTGCCGCAGCCATTCCGACGCAAAAGGAGAATCTCAAAGGTAAATGAAACCTCGGGACCAAATCATAAGTGCGTAAAAAACACGTCGACAAACTTCCGAACACTGTCATGCGTTCAGAGGCCCCGAGAAGAAGGCACTTCCGCCTTCACAAAAACACCGAGCGAGACTCCGCACCGCCGACTCTCAAGGTAAATACTTTTACCTTTTGTCACGTGTTTCCTGTCAAGCGTGGCGCTCCATGGAAGCACGTGACACGCGCGATAAAGATCTATTTTTATCCTATGAAACAACTCCGGAGGACGATACATTTTCGTTATGATGATGAAAAGAAAAATCCGCCAAGTCCTGATTAAGAGATAATATCACAAAATAATGTCATCTCATAAACATAAGATGAAAGGCCGTCTCATTAAACTCTTTATGATAATAAGATACTAACCATTATATTAAGTTTCTTTATTATATTTATGAGATATCGTCTCATTTGGCAGCACCACATATGTATGAGATACTTTCTCATAATAATGAGACACTCAGTATAGTCATTAGGTTCTTATATTTTTATCACATAATTATAATAATTATGACTTTGCATCTTATATTTATGATAAATCTTATATTTGCTGTCAAAATTGACTTCTTATTCACATAGATTCTAAATACTGTCTCATAATAACGACTTAGCATCTCATATTTTTTCATAACGTAGTATCAATAATTGATGGTACATCTCATATTAACTTAGCATCACATAACTATGATACATTTGAGTCACTTCCATCAAACATATGAACAAATTCATGCATACCTCTCTGCATATTATGTAATTTCTACACAATACAATAACATTTAAATTTAAAACATGAGGCAGTTGTGTTAAATATACCCAAAATGCTTACATTAATCCAAGAGATAGTACAAAAAGTTACTAAAGTACAATTTGTAAAGTACAATTTAGAACATTAGTAACATTAACATTTTCAAATGCATAATATATTTTTTAAACTTAATTAACTGCTGAAAAGTATTGGATACATGTATTTGTAATATATTTTTAAAGTATGGTTTGAAAACATTTAAAGTATGGTTTGAAAACAAAATTTTACAAATGCATTCAAAGTGCATTTAAAAAAAGTTTATATGAAGTTTAATTTTATAAATATATTTGAAATTTCTTTTATATTTTGCAAAAAATAGTACTTCATAAAGTGTAACAAAATATATTTTATAACTATGTACTTGAAGTATATTGAGATAATCTATTTTATTTTACATTTTCAATGTAATCCTAATAAGTACATTTACTTGAGAACATATTTTAATGTATTTTTTGAAAATTAAACCTACTTAAAATATACTTAAGTACATTAAATTTTCACCAGGGTATATTAAATTTGTGAGATATCACCCCATATTATTTACTTAGCAGCTTTTCATAATTATGAGATATTAAGTAATGACTTCTCATATTTATAAAGTACAATTTCATCGTATATTTATGAGGTATAATTTCTTAATTAGGACCCAGAACCCCATGTCATTTCATGACTTGGAAATTTAAAACCATTTCATATTAACTTTGCATTTTATATATGAGGTAGCATCTCATAATCAATGGATTAATCTTAAATTTGTGAAAAACGTGGCATCTCATAATAATCTCAAAGATTTCACAATATATTTGTAGTATCTTTATCACAGTTATTTGATACTGTCAAAATTGACTTTTTATTTTTAAATGCCATCTCATATTATTGATTAGCTTCTTATTTTTAAATATACATTTTATCATGATTTTTGGAAGTAAAACCCAAATCTACATATATTTTTATTATTAATATATCTTATGGGGTGATAATTTCTTTGCTCCATTAATGTTTAGTGTGACCCTAATGTAACATTAGGAGGGACTTGTGATTTCGCTGTACAGAAATATGAGCATTTAAAAAAAAAAAAATCATTAACCCTTAAAATGCAATTAAACCTTCCCCTTATTCTTTGTTCAAACTTTTAGAAATCCAAGTAGAAATTTGCACACCAAGCAAAAAAATGCGTGTCGATTCAATTCTTGCACAGCATTCTCGTTCAGTCAGCAGCAGCTGTTGTTCTGAACACGTGTTCTTAAAAGACAAAGTGTGCTCAAAGAAAAGAAAATACCTGAAGCAAGTGTGGTCTGTGCAACGCTCCCTGCAGCAGTAAGGACCTGAACAAATGTCAAACGTTGCCAACGGCCTTCACAAACAAGAAAAGTAGGTTTTAAAGTTCAACTCTCATTATGGCTTTCCTTTTTTTTTTTTTTTTAACGCTTCAACTTTATGACCTCCGCTCACGAGTACATGCAGACCAAACAATTCAAGCAAAGAGAAAAGTAAACAAGTTCTTTATTACTCTATAGGTCAGAATATTACAAAAACAAAGCATTTCTCAGTTAAATAAAAACAGCAAAATAAAACCAAACAGCTGGCATTACAGTGAGAAGTTTTTTTTAAAAGTTGCAGGTTGATGGTAAAGTTTTATCAGACGTCTGTTTCATGAGTTATAATTTCCACAAGTAAAGCAAACAGTTTTTAGTCTCTGGTTCATTCTGCCGCTTTGACTTTTTACCGTTTTGTCACAGTTAGAAAAAAAATAAAACAAGTAATTCAGGTCAGACCCCCAAAACAAACACCTAAAAACATTTATTCAACAAAATTAAGATAAAACGCAGCCCTCCAGACTGATCTTTTAAAAGCAGTTGCCAACAGTAGCCTCTTGTGATGGCAAATCTCATCACCGAGTGACATCACATGAAGATTTTTAAGTTTTAAACTGACGTGTTTAAACAAAGAAAAACAAATTCAACACATCTTGAAGAAGCCTGAAGACGACATATTTGACCCGAGCTGGCAAGATGAGCACAGGCTGCGGTGAAAACAAGTCAAAATATAGATTTTCGCCTAAATCAATTTTTGTGAAAATACATTTTTTTAAATGAGTACATAAAAACACCATTTAGTGACCCCAGCAACTAAAACATCAAATAATCTTCATAATCTACCTTTAAATAAAAGTTTTCCAACAGGTATGTCTTCAGAAACTATCCTTTTTCCAACTCTTTAAAAGTGACCATTTCTCTGCCGGCTGCCACAGCACCGGGAAATCCCTTTGTATAAAGTTTGGTGTCACTGAGAAGCTTGAGGGTTCCCCAGGGCTGGAATTTCAACAGACCAATAAAAATCACGTTTTTAAACCAACACTTAAACTAAACTCGCTAGCCAGGTGATAAATCGCCAAATTTGAACAAACTACTCATCATTTTGGGCTTTTAGGAGAATTTGAAAAGAAACGTGTGACTCAGTTTGCCAGCGCAGGTCTCAAATGTTGTTTACAGTAAATCATAGTTAACTCCTGTAGTACACAGACTTGTTACTGTGCTGCTGAGCTGGAACTAACTTCACTACAACTGTTCATGGAGGTGAATTATCTCGACTGTAACGCAGAAATCAGGATGGAAATCCTCAGAGTCCTGTTTATCAACTACACAAACAGATTGCTCTGCCTTTCGGCTTCATCTAAACAGATTTAGCCCTCCTGCACTTGTAACTTGCGTTGGTTCGGCTCTTTACGGGAAAAGGAAAAGAATAAGTTACATTTCTAAGTTTTTAAATAACTAAATCTAAAAAATAGACTTCCCCCTTTGTCTTCCCTAAAAAGTAAAACAACGTCTTTCCAGAATACGTCTGTTTGTTTTCCCCACAGCAGCCGCTGTTTAAACCCGAGCGTTTCTGTTAACGTTAGCTGAAATGCTGCTGCCGCTCCGTCGCGTCTGGAAGCGCGTGCCGTCCTGCGATGTCTACATGGACATGTGTTCAGGAAGTACGTAGGAGATGTCATCCCACGGGTGGCGGTACAGACCCTGTTTCAGCCTCTTCTGGTCCAAGTAATGCCCTGATGAAAACACGTTAAATGGTTTTACTTAGCTCGGATTGTTTTATTATTTTCTGCGTTTAGTGCGACTCACCAATAAAGCCCATACTACGGCCGAGGACAAAGATCCCATTCAGAGCGCCGATCTCCACAAACTCGTCTGCCTCGGCTCTGGAACCGGGTCAACATTCATGTGAGCAACAACACAGACAAAGAATGAAAACATCTGAGTTTCCCCACATAACATCCCATTAGGATTTAGTTTAATGGGAACATTTTAGACGCCAGTATATTTGTATAAAAGACAATTTAAAAAAGAGAAAATGCACACGTTGCAAAAAATAAATGGAAAAATATGAAAATTCATCAGACAAGCCAACATTTTTTATTATTACAATAGTGACAAGTCAAATTGATTTAATTAGGGGTGCACCGATAAATCGGCCCCGATTTCCTTAATTTTGGGAAATCGGCCGATGCATGAGAAACCGATTTTTCTGATTCAGTGTTTCCCCTACCATTATACAAGCGGGGCGCCCCGCCTCGTCAGCAGAACCGAGCGCCCTGTCTACCAAACCCCACCCCCAACCACCTGTCGGTGCTGACGTAACGCTAAACTGGCAGCTCGCAATGCAGGTGCACTAGCTAAAAAGCTAAAGGCAGCCTCTTCCTTCACGCTGAACGCACCCCCGCCACTCGAAAACTGTCGGTACAAACGGCGCACGGCTCAGATGTGCATCTGTCTCTCCCCCCGCTGACCCCCCCACCAAAATAATAAATAAATAAAAACTGTTGGTGCAAACAGCGAGCGGCTGCCTCCGTGTCCCCACCCCTCCTCTAAAACGGTTGGTTTAAACAGCGCAGCTTGGGATGAGTCTCCTCAACCTGTTCACAAGCGACAAGTGAAAAATGCATCATTAGTAGTGCACTAATAGATATACTTGACAGTTTGTTAAATTAAAAGATAACTTAAAACAGAAGTCTTATATAGTGCCATTTTTTTTGACGGAATGGTCGATGTCCGATATTTAACATCATCGCAAATATCGACCGATACATGCCGATAATATCGTGCATCCCTATTAATCTTGTTGATAAACATCGCCATATCTAATGAAACCTAATTTAAGCTTTTATAATTTTAACATTTTAACAACTGGAATAGCATAAAAATGAGAAAATTATGAATAAAAAGTGGCAAACTGGGCTCTGCAGGAATAGATCTCACCAACAATTACATTTCAAACATTTTCCCCCTGAATCCACCGTGGTCGTGTGATTTTTTTTACCGTGTGAAGCCTCCACATGTCCTGAGCAGGTCCACAAAGGAAACGCCAATAAAACCATCTACGTTTAGGATCAGGTTGGGTTTCTAGAATAGAAAATCAAATTTAGATTTTTAAATTTTTCTACCTGGATTATTGAGCATGCATCATGATAGAATCAAATTTAGTTTTCCACATCAAAATTATATAAAATAATAATAATAATAATAATTTCTGCATGTATGGAGTCTTAAAAGAGGACTCTTTCACACTGTCCCACGCTCCTACAGTCTATATTACACAGTCATTTGTAGAAAACACTGAAGCATTTCATATATTACAGCTTATTCATTATTTATTTAATGATATTTAACCATTCATTTGGCATAAATAGCAAGCTTCTCTGGTAAGAACTTGACCAGTAAATCTTTTTATTCTTTGGATGAGTCTCTGAATGTCTTCCATTTGGTTTTACAAACATCAGTCGTTACAGAAGTTTTCCTCCTCGGTCAACTTGAACAGAAAAGATCGATAGAATAAAGTCCAACTTCACAGGTGGCGTTTCATTCCTGCCGACGTACCTTAGAGGTGGTGATTTTCTCTACATCCAGAGCGTAGTCTAGAAGCTGAGTCGAGGGGAAATGATGCTTCACGAAGTCCTTCAGAATCTGCACTCGCATGTCCGGATTGTTGATCTGAAAAACAACAAAATCAGCTTTTTCTCTCGTTTCAACATCTTGAATTAATGCAGTGCTTCTCAATTATTTTTGGTTACGCCCCCCCCCCAGGAAGAAGTAAACATTTTGCCCGGAAAAAAATAAAAATAAAATCCTTATTTAAACTGTAAACATTTAATCAAATTAAATAAATCAATAAATAATAATAAATTCAAATTGATCAGCAACATTGTAAGTCAGGAGTGTTATAGAAAACACTTTGATCTACAAAACAAAAATGAATAAATCGATTTGTGCTGATTTTTTAAATCAAAATGAGGAAGTCAGGATTAATGGTTACAATGAGCACGTGTTGCAGTGCACAGCTTTTTGAAGCGGAGTTTGAAACATGATCCTGCAGCTCTGAGCTCCTGCTCAATGTTTAGCTGGACCTGGACCTGGACCTGGTCTTCAGTGCAGCGACAGCAGAGAAGCTGCAAAGAGCGAGCGAGCGGGTTGGGAGGTGGGGTCCAAGGGAAGAACCTGACAAGTTGTTTAGTGACATAAAATATATTTTGTTAGAAAAGAATAGAGTCCTAACAAAGAATAGAGTCCTGACATTTATTAAACATTACTTCTGTATTAAAAAAAAATAAACACCACAAAAATTGTGCTTTGACAAACTAAAAAATATTGTTAAAGTAAAAGAGGAAGAGGGGCAGGTAACGCTCTTGCTTTGAGTTTATACTCTTTGTTGCTGCGTGCTGTGGGTGACAAGCGTCCAGAGCGTCACCATCTGAGGAGGTGTCACAGCGACACGGTTCAAGCACGGCTCCCCAAACGACAAGACAAAAATATTTGTTCATAACTTTATAATTAGTCAGACTGAGTTGCCGGATTTTAGCAAACAGTTGCCGAACGCACCCTGACACAATGAGAATGGTGAAAAAAAAAAAAAAAAAACCCACTAATCCCTGCCGCAAAATGTTCCCCGGGGTCACATGCGCCCCCCTGGCATTGCTCCGGGCCCACCCAGGGGGGCGCGCCCCACTATTTGAGAAGGACTGAATTAATGTATCTAGGAGTCTATAAAGAGATCATGTTAGGTTTTGGAAGAAGTTAGGTGCAGCTTACTGATTTGACCCTGTGGCCAATGCCCATGATCAGCTTGCCATCCTTCTTCATCTTGTTGACAAACTCCATGGGCAGCATGCCGCTGTCGAACGCTTTGCTGAACTGCTTTGCTGCTGCATCCAGAGCGCCTCCGAAACGATCCCCCTGGTTTCATAAACACATTTCATGTCAATGAAGAAATATTCTGGTCTGTTTAGATCATTTCAGGAAACGCAGAAACAAGTGTTTGAGTGCGAGCTGTACTCACGATGGTGAGCAGGCCAGAGGTGAGGCTTGAGATCAGGTCTTTGCCGGCACGAGCGCAGACGATCGTGTTGTGGGCCCCAGAAACGGCAGGACCGTGATCAGCCGTCACCATCAGACACATCTCAATGAACTGACAGGCATAACGCGGCAACCTGATCGGAGAAAAACAAGTCGAGCGACCAGGATGGTTTTTATTTCCATCGCAGGATGCAAGCTTCTTGCGTCACCATCCTGTCGAAGCTGCCCAGTTATTTTACGAACCTGCGCTGGAACCAGAGCAAACCAAGCACTCCTCCTATTCCCATCTCCTCCTTAAAGACATCCGTGATGGACATGCCAGCGTAGATGAGCTCCTGGCCTCGCTCATCACAGATGCTCGTCATGAACGAAGCTGGCTTACGAATCAGGCCCAACTCCTAAACAATTTAAACAAAAGTAAAACAAAAATAATATATTAAACTAACAAACAGAACATGTCTAAAAAGCAAACTAAACTCTGGCTGTGTCAAAAACAGCATTGCACTCATGCTTAATGTATTTTACCATTTTAATCCATCCAGTCCATGTTTGATATGTATGACTGTTTATGTTGTTAATATCATTTTTTATTATTTTACTCTTATTGCCATTCTTCTTAATAGTATTTTATAGATATCCTGTGTATAAAAGCCCATCTAGGGACAAGCGCTGCAAATTAGCTCACGCTATGAGCACCAGGATACAACATGGGACTGCTGTTTTATTCAGTTTGTCTATGTTATTGTGTCTCAATCCCCATCAAATAAACTTAAATAAATAAATAAAATCTTCTAATTGTTAAACAATAGTTAGTTCTTACTCTGGCCCAGGAATAATCCATTGGGACAGTTGGGGGAGGAACCTCCTGGGCAGGAACGATTGTACCATTGGCCACCAGTTCATCGTAAACGGTCCTGTTTCATTAAATTTAAACACGATTCAGTAAAAAAAAAAAAGTTAAAAATAAAAAAATAAAATTCAGTGATGAACTTGATTAGAACATGAATTTCCTACTTGATGACGTCCCCCAGCTCATCGAAGCTCTTTGGTACAAAAACCCCGGCATCCCTCAGAGCCTGGTTTTTGGCCACTGCGGTTTCTGAGGCCTGGTTGGCACAAGCTCCTGCATGGCCGAACTGAACCTGAAGATGGCGGCATTACAGAATGAACTTCACCAACAGAATCCACAGACACTTGTTTTCAGCACAGCAAACAAACCTCTGAGGCAAACATGGTGGCGCAGGTTCCAATACACCAGCACACGACGGGTTTGCTGATCCTGCCCTCTTTGATGCCTTGGCAGATTTTATACTCCTCAGTGCCTCCGATCTGAGCATCACAGAGAAGATGATAAAACTGAGAAGCTGTTCGTCACAGATGGGTCAATTTGGAGTCATTCCTGGAGGAACACCTACTTCTCCCAGCACTACGATCATCTTTATCCCTGGCGTGTCCTGGTACCGTAGGACGTGGTCCATGAAGGTGGAGCCTGGATATCTGGACAACAAAAGAAAAATACCTAAATCTTAATACTTAAATGCAATTTAACAGTAGTCATAATTTTCTCTAATAAACCAAAAAAAAAGGTTTTATACCGGTCCCCTCCGATGGCCACGCCTTCATAAACGCCATCTGTAGTGCGAGAGATGATGTTGTTCAGCTCGTTGGACATGCCTCCAGAGCGGGACACATACGCCACGCTTCCAGGACGGTACAGTTTGGAGGCCAGGATGTTGTCCAGCATGCCGCCCGTGTTGCCGATCTTGAAGCAGCCAGGCTTGATGCCACCAACCTGGGAGACGACGGTTACAGTTTACTGCACAGTTGTTTAACTTTTTGATGAAAACAAACAAAAACACCAATACACACTTGATTCCCACCACATTTAGAGTGCAATGTGGTGCTTCTTACAGTTTGTTAAAAATACGTGTGGCGTTTTGAAGCTCCGTACCGTTGCAGGACCAATGATGGTGACGCCTTTCTCGTCTGCGACCTTTATTAACTTCCTCGTTTGAGCTTCTGGGATGCCCTCAGCTATGATGGCAATTGTGTGAATCTAAAAACAAACAACAAGTTAGATTCACGTAAATTCATCTAAATGCCATTTGTTTACTTTCAGCTCGTCTTTGTACCTGTGGGTACTGCATGGTCTCCATGGTGCTGTCAAAGGCTGAGCGCAGAGAGGCGAAACTGATGAGGACGTCCACCTCGTGATGCTTCTTCATGGCATCATCCATGTTCTTATAGACCGGCAGCAGGATCTCTTTGTGGCCCCAATAAAACTTCTGCTTGTGGTCTCCACTAAACAAAAATAGATATATTTTTTACCTCCGAGTGATCAGTATCTGCGATTATTACATAGGACAAGGGAAAAACTGATTTCTACAGGTAATGCTTTTAAAACAATGCAAAATAAATTGGAAATAGAAAATCTGTGGAGCGTTACTCTTATTATAAAGCTCAGTTGACAGAAATACATCAATTTGTTGGGGAAACCTACGTGAAAGGGTACACCATGGCGGCCACAGAGGGTTGGTCACGTGAGCAGACGTAGTCAAAATCCAGCATGCCCTGCACGGCACGCGTCTGCATGCCCCACACGATGGCCTTGGTGTTTTTGCTGAACAGCGTGGTGGCTTTGGCTGAGAGAAGAAATTGACAAAAAAGGGAATAGATTAGAGTCAGAGCAGGAATTTCAAAATAAAAAACAGATTAAGGTGGGAGTCAGGAAAACTGCAGCAACGTGAACAAGCGGAGCACAAAGGGAAGCCAGAGGACAGAGATGAGGGAAGCCCCAAAAGAATAATTCTGCATCACTACGAACTCCGTTAACGTATAAAAACCAACACTTGACTCAATATGAAATGTGGATGACTATTTTCAGACATTATTTTCACTTGTTGAATCATAAAAACAAACTCAATATTTAACAGCTGTAATAAAGTTCATCACTCAGTTCATTCTTTCCTACACACCCTCATAGTCACACTCCTAGAGATTATTTCAGACTCCACAACATAAAAAAAAAAAAAAAAAAAATCACGAGACTTAAACTGCTTTTAGATCAAGGAGGCATCTCATTCTTGAATACCTCGAACTTCGTTCTGCACATCAGTGCAGCGGAGTTGCCGATTGCACAATCAGCAACTTTGCCCTTGGAGGCTCATGCTGAGTTTGCATGAGAACAAGACGATTCTCAGAGATCAGGTTTCTTTTTCTCCGACAGAACCGGTCTGTTTTTATTTTTATTTATTATTATAATATATATTCATCTATCTATATCTATATCCATCTATATCCATCTATATATATATACACACACAAGTGTTTTGTTTACGTGCATATCTATGCAAGTCTACTTTGTCTATTTACTTGGAATTTTGTTTGAGAAATTAGAAGAATTTATTATTCATTAAATATTAACACATTACATCCAGAGGCAATTATGATTATCCCTGTTGCTAAAACCCAAAGAAAATACCCAGTGCATCAAGACAACTTCTAGACTTAGGCCTGTCTGTAGCCAACAGAAATTTGCTCTGAAGACCTGTCACAATAACAAATTTTGCTGGGCGATTAATTGTCTCAGAAATTATTGTGATAAACGATAATATTGTTTGAAATTTGACAATAATTAGTAATTATTGTCAAATTTAAGAAGAAATGTTGATCGTTGAGTGTATTAACTTTTTGACCACCAGATGGCAGTATAAGACTATAAGACTATGGGGAGTGGTGGTGCAGAGGTTACAAAAGTGGGCCTGTGATCGGAAGATCGCCGGATCAAGCCCCAGTACTGACAACATCAAAATGTGGGTGGGGTAGGTAAAGCACCCACACCTGCCCCCACCCTCATTCGTCTGACTCTGGGCCCTTGAGCAAGGCCCTCATCTCCCACCATCTGCTCCTCCAGTTGTTCTAGATAGCAGCTCTCTGCTTCACACAGAGGGCTGTGGTAGCATTGTTTCTGTGGTTGCGTCAGGAAGGGCATCCAGTGTAACAATAACTGCCAAGTCTTCGTGCGACTTAGTTCGTTGTGGTGACCCCTGAAGAAGGGAGCAGCCGAAAGAAGAAGAAGAAGAAGATGGCAGTATAAGACTGTTTGAACCAAAGGATGGATAGTGAGGGAGCGAGCAGCGTGTCTCTTTAAGAAAATGGGAGGGCGGTCCCTTGACTTGACATGGGCTGTCTCTCCTTTCTTTTTTTTTTTGTTTTCCCCCGGTTCTCAAAATGGTGGACGCTCGGTGTGGTTTGAGCTCTTTAGCATAGCACTTTTCACACAAAGCTTTTAATAAAAAAAAATTAAATCAGTAAACAAGCTCTAAGCATCTTTTTGCAGAGAAAAACAAGTTTTTACACGAAGGCACAGGTTTCAACCGTGAATTTTGGTGCTTTGACAAGACAGATTTTTTCCTGAGCTAGCCGTTAGCTTAGCTCGTAGCTTAGCTTCTCAGCTTAGCTGCTTTTAACGATCCAAAAACATGATTTTGGACGGTTAAAAACGATTTTAAAGAGAAAAGAGAAAGGAAGAGGTCAGTGAAGAGCACCGGAGTTGAGCATTTGGCATCCAGTTTCTTCAGTAGAAAGAGAGACACGAAGAAACAGTAAAGCCGATAAATGAAAACGAGGTCGATAATTTTCATTTATCATTTAATTAATTGATTTATTGTTTATCGCAACACACCTATATAGAATATTTAAAATAAGCAATTATTTTCTATTGTCTAATAGTATTACAGAGTAAAAGTATCAATGTTGTGTATTTAAAACACCACCTATTGTGAACGTAGAATTTAATATGATTTAAAAAGTATCAAAAAAGACTTTCTGGTGTGGGGCGCTGCTGCCTTTGAGAATTAGTTTTCCTTCAGTGCCCTGAATTTAAACAAAAGCTTCACGGTTAGTGGTGTTGACACCTCTGCATCAATCATTAAATTAGTGCGTTTTAATTCAACCCAGCAGCCATGCAAAATATATTGGGGGGGGGGACACTGACAAAGATGACAATTCTCTGAAATGGATTCAAAGTATTTGGTCACACAAGCTAAACGCCATGTTAAGTTTTTTTTGTGTTACACATTTTGCTGTTAAAGTTACACTGTTGTGTTGCTGTCTGCAGTCACTCCTGGTTCCTGCTTTCTGTTGGCACATCTGATATTTAAAAACTTTGCTCACCGACTCTTCAAGAGAGTCCCGAGTGAGGAGGAATGTTCGTTTCCCTTTGTTTAACCAGATTTTAAAGAAAGTACAACTTTGTCTTTACTTGTAGTTTTTCTTCAAAGCATGAGAAATTTTGCTTTAATCTTCAAGTGCTCTTAATTTAACATTGATCCAAATGTTTTTTTAACTCATTCATGAACATTAGTTTGAAAGGGAACAACTCTTTAGGCAGTTGAATGGGGAAAAAGTACAAACCGAGTTAAACAAACAGGGTGGGCAGATGGATGTTAACAGAGGGTGGAGAAGGCTGGAGGACATTTTTTATTCTTTGCTCTATTTACATCCTTCCATACCTCCACTGCAGCCTGAAGAAGCTTGAGCTTCTGTGACACCACAGGATGGAACGGAAATTATGACACAATGAGCACAAAAGAAGAGAAACAATAAGTGAATTTAAAGCATCTTCAACTCTGTCACCGAGCACACGTAAATGCACCGAACCAACTGTGCGTTACTTTTGAAAACACCTAAAAAGCACAGCAGAGGAAAGAACATGCAAAGCTCAGCTGCTACAGGGCTTTGCTGCTGGAAAGAGCAATCTGAAATGTTTAGTCAGGTTACAGTTAGGAGTCCTATAGATAGAACTGAACTTGACTTGACCTATATCATAATAAACAGTAGCCCCAACACAACACACAACTCTTTCAAAAGCAAACAGAAATTTGCTCTGAAGATAGGCCTGTCACGATAACACATTTTACTGGGCGATTAATTGTCTCAGAAATTATTGCGATAAATGATAATATTGTTTGAAATTTGACAATAATTAGTAATTCTTGTCAAATTTAAGAAGAAATGTTGGTTAATTCTTTTGAGTGTAGTAGCTTTTTTGACCACCAGATGGCAGTATAAGACTGTTTGCACCGAAGGATGGATAGTGAGGGAGCGAGCAGCGTGTCTCTAAGAAAAATGGGAGGGAGGCCTCTTGACATGACATGGGCCGTCTCTTTCCTTTTTTCGGTTCTCAAAACGGCAGCAGCTCAGTGTGATTTAAGCTCTTTAGCATAGCATTTTTCACACAAAGCTTTTAATAAATATATTTTTTTTAAATCAGTAAAGTTCTCAGCTTCTTTTAGCAGAGAGAAACTTTTTACACAAAGACACAGGTTTCAACCGTGAATTTTGGAGCTTTGACAAGACGGAGTGTTTATTCCCCGAGGTCGGCCTGTTAGCTTAACTCGTAGCTTAGCTGCTTTTAACGATCTAAAAACACAATTTTGGATGGTTAAAATGGATTTTAAAGAGAAAAATGAAAGGGAGGGGTCAGTAGGGGTTGAACGATTATATAATTTTTAAACTTGACATTAACATAATAAAACCAGAGTAGAACTAGAGTATTTGATGACGTCATAGATCTCAAGATACAAAAATAAATAAATCGGCAATAAAAGGTAATTATTTACAAAAAAAAGACCAACAAAACATTGGGAGCATATATTATGCTCCTACCATTTATCATACTGCAAATAAATCACAGGAAAAACTAAACTATTAGTTATTATTATTAAACTGCAAACGTGAAGAAACATGCAGCATGTCGGAAACAAAACTTAAAACAGTGGATGGGCGGTGGATTGGATCCGGAGTTACACCATATTCTGTGACCTTCAACAGGGCAACACCGCCCCCTACGGTCATACGGTGGTCACATAATATGACGTCGCTACGGTTACTCGACATTACATTTTTAACCTCGATAGAGGTCCTAGCAATCGATGTGTAGATTACTCGAGTACTCGGTTAATGCCCTAGGGGTCAGTGAAGAGTACTGGAGTTGAGCCTTTTGTCATCCAGTGTCTTCAGGAGAAAGAGAGACACACGGAGAAACAATAGAGCTGATAAATGAAGGGCGATAATTTTCCTTCATCATGCGATTAATTGACTTATTGTTTATCGCGACAGGCCTATCTGAAGATCCCAATAATCATGAGCAAAAATCATTATCTTAGCCCAAAGTTAAAAATAAAATAGAAAAACCTATTTCTTTTATCACACTTTTAAAATTTCTCAAGATTGTGAGGGGTAGGAAGAAGACGGGCAAACCAATAAAACGCACATAGGCAGCCGTTCGCAGCGGCAGCACGGCACACCTAACTTACCTTTCCAATCGCCTGTGACCACATTCTTCAGAGGCCACAGGATAGAATGAAGAGAGTCTTAGAAAAACAAGCATGAAAGAAATGGAAGTGAGTGGACAGTTTGAGCAGCAAAATAAAAGAGGAAGAGGATTCAGTCAAATATACAGAGGGTGCAGATCACATTTAGGGGAAGGGTGAAAATACAAGAAGCAAAGAAAAAAATTAAAAGCAGAAGTGCATGAATAAATATGGCAGACAAACTAATAGGAAGCAAAAAAAAATCAACTAATATTTCTGTTTTGATTACCTGGTGGAAGGCCTGCCTTCGGCTTTTTGGGTGGGGTGACGTCATTAGTGGTCTTAACTTCAGAGAAGGAAGCTGTTCTTGATGAAGCAGGGGTCTGAGGGGCACCACGCAGAGAAAACACACATTTATGAGTCAAAAAGACGTCAAACACCAACCAAATTGGTAAAAATTTGGGGGATTTTCAGTAAACTAGTACAATAGTTTGCTCATTAACAGCCCACACAGCTAAAATGCAACATGGAAATGTTTCAATTATTTTCAAGCCTAAAGAAAACCTAAATTAATTCAACCTTTATTTATACAGGCTAGCCTCATTGAGCCACGCGGACTCATTTACAAGAGGGACTCGTTCCAGACAGAACATCTAAAGTACAGACAACAATAACAGTAAACAATGACAACAATAAACTACAGTAAAAAGTAAATGTTTCCTAAAGTAAACAAATTGTGCAGTTTAATGGGAAAACATTTAAAACATGTAACTTATGAAGCAGAACACTAGAATAAATGTGCTGCACTGAAGAAACTCATCCTTGGTGCTTTAAAACACAAATTTTAAAAAAGGACGTTTAACTTTCCATTTCTTTGTCTCTAATATCTGTAGAAAAAGTCGTTTTCACATTATATGAAATGTTAAAATAAATAAATAAATAAATACCGCTGCACTGTTGGCGCCGGCACTGAGGAGGAAGTTGGCAGTATGAGCCGCCATCGGAGGCTGATTAGGGATCGGCCGGTGACCCAGAGCCATACCAACAATGGCCGTCATATGGGTCTCGGTTCCGAACACGTGAATTGGGATCCCCGTGGTCTTCCCTTCAGAGAGGAAACAAGATGAGAGAACACATTCAAACAGATTATCCACCCTCCGAGTGCTCAAAACATTTCCACAAATTATTTATTGTCGTTAGGTTTTAAAAGTTAGAATTTTTTTTCCCCCTCACTCACCTACTTCTCCCATCACCCTCAGGCCTTCTTGGTAGTTGGGGCCCCCACGTCGCACAAATATGGAGACTTCATGCTCCTTCAGAGGACCCTGGTAATCTTTAATGGCCCTGACGATGCCCTGAGGAGACGACAGGCGACATGCTCAGAAACAACAACCGCTTGAGTTGTTCTAGTTGTTCTCGTTAAACATAATCAAAAATTAACACGGAACGTCCGTTTTATTTGTTGCAAAAGACAAAAGGAACATTGCACTGCTTTTTACACAAGCTAGACGTGAGCGTGCTTTCACTGTAGAGTTCCTAAACTATGGAACGGTTTGCCTCTCCATATTAAACAGGGCTCCTCGCTGTCCGTTTTAAAATCCCATCTTAAACCCCATCTTTGTCCCCAGGCTTTTGACACCATGTGAGATGTTGAATTCATTGTTAATTATTTGATTCTCCTTAAACTGTTTTAAAAAAAATTACATAGCTGTTTATGTATACTATTTTTAATCTTTTTTTTTTGTATTTTATCCCTTTTAGGCTTTTTAACATATCTTGACATCACTTTGGTCCTGTATGTTTTTTTAAAAGTACTTTATAATTAAAGTTGGACTGGATTTTAATGCCTCTGCAAGTACCTCATTGTCAAGTTCTGTATTTTTCTAAAAGCTGCTGAATGTTTATCAGGTGTTAAATTGTAGTAACATGCGCAGCAGTGAGTTCTCTATTCCGACTAGAATACAAAAGTTAAATGTTAAGTTTTACAGGAGGTACACAAAGATGGCTTAAGATAGTTTGAACATTTTGAAATGTTTGACATCTTGCTTGCTAGAGTTTGATATTGGCAACTCGTGAGATTTTAAATAAGGAGAAGCCGTTCTGAAACGTTAAAATGTTTTTTTGTTAAATGCAAGGACTACCATTAAAAAAAACAACCTTGTTTATTTTCCCCACTGTGAAACGATTCATTTCAGCAGACAACCTTGTGATGACAAGTGCTGATAACAGTTTTAGATAATCACCTTGAACGTGGCTGCTACGTTGGTGAAATTTGCAATGCTTCCTCCGATGATAAGCACTTTTCCTGCAGAGGAAACAAACACAATGAGAATATCATTTTTACATGAATTTGCCCCCCAAGACGACACTTTAATGGCAGCTATGAAATAAATATATTTGCCTTGTAGCAAATTTTAAAACATGCGCTCACCCTTCAAAAAAAAAAAAGATAAAACACTAATTACTTACAGCCATAAGACATTTATTTTAACAAAGAGTCCAGGTTCCTTTGTCCCTTATTAATAAAGGTTTATTTTCCTCCTTGCTCCATTTTTATCTTTGTCCAACTTTTGTGATGAAGTTTAGTTTGTTCTCACCTTCAGGATGTTTCTCACGAGTCATCAGTGACAGAATAGTTTTTGCATAGTCGTAGGTCTGCTGTTCGCTGGGTGCACCGGAGTACTCGCCATAATTTGCCAGCTCATCCACCCCACCCAGGTCACAGATCGTGTCACTGAAGACGAGAGGAGATAAGCAGAGAGATGATGCGCCCCAATTTAGGCTGATCCTCTCAGTGTTATTCATTCAGACAAAAAATGTTGAGCAACAGGAATGTCAAACAGGCAAAAACTAGTCTGTCACACACAGAATGTAAACTATGTGAAACTGCCAAAGCAACGTGGATTACTTTTACCAAGTAAAGTTTAAAACCAAGTATATAGATTTAATCTGCTACCTGTAGACCACTGAAGCACCTCCTCCAGCTACCATGGTCCAGATCCTGCCTCGTGGGTTCAGCAGGGTTAACTTCAAACTAGCACCACTCTTCGCATCCAGATCTGCTATGTAGGCTTCCTAAAAGTAAAAAGGCAGAGCATCATGAATTTTACAATTAGGTCATTGGGCATATATGGCTAAGAAGAGTGATGTCAGTAAAATCAAACTGCCTTCCAATTCAGCTGATGTAACATATAAAGCAGATGATGTTGATAATAGCTTAATATAAAATCTGGTCAAAATGACTGAATTATTAAGTCAACTCCTAAATTCCTAATAAAAATAAAATGTGTGATGACTCAAATACACCATTATATTGGATGTGTATAGTATTTGCATGCAGAAGGGGAAAATACAAAGGACATTAAATGTAGCAAACTTTTCGTTTTGAACCATCTGCACTCAAAGCGTTGAGACAAATGGAAAACCTATGCTTTACAAACCTTTCACAAAAAGTGCACCTAACAGGAACACATGAAAAGGGATTTCACAACCATAAACGTTAACATGAACTTTGTTTTATTATGTCTAACAGGAGACCATTAAGACAGTTAAATAGTGTTGTGTGTAAACAGAAGACAGAAGTTACACCCTGTTAATAACTAGCGAGTCTTTTTCTCTCAATGAAATAAATATACAACACTGGTAATTTTTTTTTTTCCTCTTGTTAAAAAAACCCAGAGAAGTATGTAACGGCAGATGGGATTTCTCTCCATCAGGTATGGTACTGCTACCTTCTGTGGCCATGTTTTCAAAGAATGTTAGCAAATATTTGTGTTTTGTTCAAGGTCTTCCTTGCAGAATTCAATCCACTGCCAGGTAGTTTTATTTTTTTTAACACTGGATATTAAAACACTTTGCAAGAGGCATCATTTTCCAGATGGTCAAAGACATGAGACATCTACTGCAAGAGGAACTTCCAGCTAAACCAGATGAATAAATAAAACACTGCAATAAAACTTTATACTGATAGTTTTATTAATGATACTAAAAATCAGCTGTGTGGAAACATTTGAAATACATTAAGTACTTTTGAAACTTGGCCCACTCCTTATTGTTGCCACAGGTTATCAAGAGTTTATAGAAAAAATACATAAGCTTTGAGATAAATAAATGAACATGACATTCTGCTAAACATAAAAACCTGATATGACTTCTCAGATCTTACCTCAGGATATGCTTCCCTGCCAAAGGGTGGAGGAAACTCCACGTCACCCCATTTAGCTTTACAGATAAAATCTGCTGTGGCATCAATCTTGGCTGCCATGTCGAGAATAAACACTCCATCCTGGGTAACTACTGGTTCAAGCAATAAAACAAGACATTTGTTTTCTTTCATAATTAGCTTTTTCACAGATTATTGCTTCCATGAATCTTTATGAGCTCAGAATAAGCTGCATGGAAAATATATTTACCAAGAGGGTTGATTTCAAGGTAGGTGAAGTAGAGGTCTTCAAATAAGTTGAAGAGTCCCACAATAAAACTGGCCAGAATTCTTAAAGAGGGAAACAAAAAAATTTCTTATAGTCAACATTACAGAATATAATAATAATAATAATGTCATCACAATGTCAGCACTGTATGTTTCCATACAATGGCGAAATTAGTCTCTGCATTTAACCCATCCACCGAATCATAACTGAAAGTATTTCTAGTAGGTAAATATTTCTAAGTCTAGGATGGACATACAAAGTTTGAAATCTTTATAATGTGAGTGTAGAGAGAGAAAGTTAATGTGTGAATAGGTTCTTGCTATCCTTGTTAATATGAAAGTCTAATGTAAACAACTGTTGCTCTGCAGTGTCAAATATTAGTTTTCAACGATGCGTGTTAATTTTGTTTAATTTGACAGACAGCGTGCACAACTCATACACGCCAAAAAAAGTACTTTTTGTGAGATCAGGATGTTTCAAAGCCACTGGTATTGGAATTTGAAAACAAGAGAAATAGACTAAACAGATCTCTGAAGGTCAAAGTTAAATAGGACAGCTGCTCTGAAGGCTGGGAGCCTTTGTGGTGATACCCACCCCTCCCCCCACCCACAAAGAACTATGGTACTAACCAAAAATAAAATGATGCAATAAAGTTATCATGACATTAAAGAAACTGTTCATTCTTGTTTGAAGGAAAAGCTGGTTAATTACATGGATGAAAGCATTTCTTACTAATGTTCCACATGAATTGTTTTACTCATAATCATTTTCATTTGGCTTTTCCCTCTTCAGGGGTCTCCACAGCGAGTCATCCTCCTCCATCTCACTCTGTCCTCACTCCAGCTACCTCAAAATGTCCTCTCTAACTGCATCCATATATCTCTCCACTTTGGCCTTCTTCTTTGTCTTTTTCCTGGCAGCTGCATTTCTAACATCCTTCTACCAATATACCCACTGTCCCCCCTCTGGACATGTCCAAACCATCCCAGTTTGGCCTCTCTAACTTTATCTCCCAGTTGTTCAACCTGTGCTGTACCTCTGATGATCTCATTCCTAATCTTATCCATCCTTGTCACTCCTAAGGAGAACCTCAACATCTTCATTTTTGCCACTTCCAGTTCTTTCTCCTGTCTTTTTGTCCATGTCTCTGTCTCCAGACCATACAACATAGCTGGTCTCACCACTGTCTTGTAAACTTTTCCTTTGACCTTTGCTGACACCCTTTAGTCGCAAATCACTCCTGAAAACTTTCTCCATCCACTCCATCCTGCCTGGACTCTCTTTTTCACCTCTTTACCACACTTCCCATTTTCCTGGACAGTGGACCCCAAGTACTTGAAGTCCTGCACCTTTGTGACCTCTGCTCCTTGTAGCCTCACTGTTCCACCGGCCTCCCTCTCATTCACACACATGTACTCTGTCTTACTACGGCTGACTGTCATTCCGCTTCTTTCAAGTGCATACCTCCACCTCTCCAAGTTCTCTTCCACCTGTTCCCTGTTCTCACCACAGATTACAATGTCATCTGCAAACATCATCGTCCATGGGGATTCCTGCCTGACCTCATCTGTTAGTCGGTCCATCACCAGAGCAAACAAGAAGGGGCTCAGAGCCGATCCTTGATGTAATCCCACCTTCACCTTGAAGCTATCTGTCACTCCTACAGCACATCTCACCACTGTCCTGCTGTCCTCATACATGTCCTGTACCAGTCTAACATAATTTTCTTCCACTCCAGCTTTCCTCATGCAATCCCACACCTCCTCCCTCCGCACCCTGTCATATGATTTTTCTAAATCCACAAAGACACAATGGGAGTTCTTTCTGACCCTCTCTGTACTTCATCAGCATCCTCAAAGCAAAGATGGCATCTGCAGTGCGTTTCTCAGCATGAAACCATACTGCTGCTCACAAACCTCTTGTCTAAGTCTAGCTTCCACAACTCTCTCCCAGATCATCATGTGACTCATCAACTTAATTCCCCTGTAGTTGCTACAACTCTGTACATCACCCTTGTTCTTAAAAATGGGCACCAGCACACTTCTCCTCCATTCCAGAGGCATTTTCTCACCGTCAAATATGCCATTGAATCCTTTGAGTCAAAAACCTCACTGCCATCTCTCAAAGACATTTCCAAACCTCCACTGGTATGTCATCAGGTCCTACTGCCTTCCCCTTCTTCAATCTTTTCATACGTTTCTGAACTTCACCCTCACTAATCTTCCCCACGTCCTGGTCCACAGTTTCTATGACCGCTACTCATCTTTCTCTTTCATTCTCTTCATTCATTAGCTCCTTAAAGAACTCCTTCCATCTTTTTTCATTCATTCATTCAACATCTTTCATTCATTCAACCTCAATCTTCCCATCTCACTCATCAATTGCTAGAACATTACCATTCTTATCTCTAACAAGCCTAACCTGCTGCACATTCTTTCCAGCCTGATCCCTCTGTCTCGCCAATCGGTACAAGTCCTTCTCGTCCTCTTTTTACTGTCCAGCTTCCCATACAACTCCGCATACGCCCTCTGCTTTGCCTTAGCTACCTGCTTCTTTTCTCCATGTTACATTTCCTTATTTGTCTGTCTACTCTTTTGAGTCCTCTCACTGACATATTTCTTATTGGCTAACCATCTTTGAATAGCTTCCTGCACTTCACTATTCTGCCACCAAGTCTCCTTATCTTTTCTCTGTCCAGATAACGCACCAAGTACCTTCCTACCACTCTCTCTAATCATTATTGCTGTAGTAGTCCAGTTACCTGGAAGCTCTTTCTTACCACCCAGTCTTCCAACAGCTCCTCTCTGAACTCCTCACAACATTCCTCCTTCCTGACACAACCTTCATCATTTACCTGAGCTTGGGACCGGCACAGGAGATACACTAGCTTGTGCTCCCTAGTTTCTGATTATTTTACTTATACTGTACAATCAAACCAAAAACAAAAAAAATTAAACTCTCATACTCTTTCTTGTCATCTGGGACATGTGTGATGAGCTGCTCTTTGACTTGGTCCTTGCTGAGTTTCTCATCCACCCCGACCAAAAGCTTCTTGGCTTTGGCGTCCACGTCACCCACCTCCACCCCTCCTTCGTGGTGGAAAAGTACAAAGTCACCCTCACGAGCAGCGTAGATGCATACGTAAAACTCTTCCTCCTGAGTGAGTAAACAAAGAGTTAAACACATGAACACAAAAACATTTCTATGGATTATGTTTGCACAAGGTGGGACATGTTTGGAGTCCAAGGGAGATAACTTTAAAGAAAAACGTTCATATCAAGTTTTTCCATTTTTAATTTTTATTGATAGCCACACTGAAGTATAATTCACCCTCAGTTTGTTTCTTTAAAATAAAGTGAGGACATCAATCATAGATCACAAACTGAGCTATATATACTAACATTTCATTGTCCTGAGGAGTGATTTGTTTTCTTTCTTTGGGTGGGTCTTTTTAAAGCTGCATTCATAAATAAGTTTAAAAAAGGCATTTAAAGTAAAAAGCATTTATTACCTGCGTGTGGGGAACAAAAGGCTCAATGAGGAAGTTCTTCAACACGCCTTTTGCCTTTCCCACCTGGTTTAAAAAAAAAAAAAACACACCCCAAACATTCAAATTACTATAACTTCATTATAGATGCACAACAACATGCAGACAATTACTTCTATTTTTGCATCATACAAGAAATTACATGTTTATTCCCCTATTTTAAGACAAACTACACAAAGTATCAAGATTATTTTAAATGCCAACAAAAACCAGCAGTTTGACGTGTTTCCTTTCATAATAATCACAAAAAAACAATTTGATTCAACCATCTTGGTAGTTACAGTTTCAGCCACTTGCATCATTGATTCCTTAGTGCATTCTCTTGCATCATTAATTGTTGCTTTAAAAACATATGATCTCAGTTTACATTTAGATGCTAAAATAGAGAAAGAGTCCCATCAACTCACAGTGGTTTCCTTCATAAGGTGACCTCTGAGCCACTTTTTGACACCCTGGAGGTCCAGGTCGATGCCCACCAGCCCAAGCTTCCCTCGTCGTTTGATCAGTTGATCTGGCTTCACCACAAGCCGCTGCAGGAGGAACAGGAAAGGACCCGTGTTGCATGAAAGGCCCAGATTTGTATACAAACTTGTGTAACAAATTAAACTGAGAACAGGTCACAAATTACATCCACACACATTTGTAAGTTTAGTCAATTTAGTAAAGCAACCTACTTCTGTTAGCAGCCATGGGTGGTCCTGTGTGAGGCGATCCCAGTCAGTCTCAGCAGTTACATTGGCATAACGAAAACGGTTCTGCACAGCAGTCGATATGGAGATGTGCTTGTACAAGAACTCCTTCCCCGTCTGCTCCGATATTGCTTTTGCAGACATGGCAGCGCCGGATAGCACAGGACCTTTAGAAGAAGGAATTTTTGTTTTTGGTCTGTCACAGCAAAAATCACAGATACAACAAACAAACAGTAAAACGTCCATCCCAGAATTTTTTTTTTTACTGTGAATGTCATCAAAACATTTAAAATCCAGGTCAATGGCTCAAGAGAAAACATAACAAAACTAATCTAATGGACGACACATTCAACTGAATTCAAGCGACACTTTCTGATCCTTGCTTACGGTTCAGACTTACACAGCTTTTGTTAAAATCTCATATACATCTAGGATAAAGAAACTTCATTTTTTATTTATGAACAAACTCATCACATGCACTTGAACAATAATAAATGCAGCTGCTAAAAATAAACGCTTAAGCTGATTAGAGGTTTATTGCAGCTGTCTAAGATGGACATGTCAATGTTCTTAAATATAGAGTCAGAGAAATGTACACAAGTCAAAACTTTACTGATCAATAAACATATGAATTTGTGAATATTTAATAATGACACTATAACTGGGGGCCTCTTACTGATGATAGAGTGATTTAAAGTAAAATCACAATGTTGTTTTGCAGATTAAAGCCTAAAAATGTGGAGTTGGGGTAAATGTTAGAAATACAAACACAAACCATTAAAACAGAACTAAACTTTAGACCATTCCAACAAACCAAATATTTTTTGTATAACTCCTACACAAGCTTTAACAACAGCACAAAAAAAAAAAAAAACTCAACAAATGAAATTACCTCATTTTAATTTAACCGTGCACAAAACAGAAAACTATCTAGCACATTAACCCATCAGAATAAATATTAGCTGTCAGCCCAATAAATCTGATTTAAGTGACCTGATAGTCCCAATCTGAAATTAGAGGGATTTAACCGTGACATTTTATCAATAACAAAGCAGCTGATAATGTTTAAGGTGCTAAAGAACATCTCCAGCTTTGTACAGATAAACGAATAGTTTCATTCAAAGCAAAAAGTATAAAACGTTACCAATCCTATGCATGTCTCACAGATAGGGTTTCGACCGTGAAGAAGAGTTAGAACATGAACAGGTGGAAACCACTGTCTTGCCTTTCCTGTTTTTTTATACAGCACACCATGTTGCTAGACCTGTTAGCCAACTATGGGTCAATGAACATCCATAACTTTACCTGTTGCTGTTTATTTTACCGTATTCGTTGAAGTTTACCCAAAACTGAAGATCAGCCAATAAAAATAAAAAGTTCAAGTGATATTCCCCACCAGTAGACGAGCAGTCACTGATGGTATTGATCTACTTTTCAGTTTAAGTACTACTGATAACATTTTTATGAGTATATTTAAGCAACACTGTTTTAACCCCATGTTGCTTCACTTTAAAAACAGCTCATCTTCTAATGGCTTTGATCGCCAACCTTGTACTTTAACTAAGATTTAACTAAGATTTAGCTTTGAGACACAGGTGTCCCAGAGCCCAGCCCTGAAATAATCCTGTCTTTTGTCTCAGAAGATGAAGATATGAAGGCTGCAGCATCAGTTTTAAACACAGCTGCTGTTTGTTGAACTCGAGGAGGATTTGGAGACGCTTCTCCGGGTCTTCCTGCATCATCATGAGTCCTCCCAACACGCAGATAATGAATGAATGGAGCCTCTGTATGGACTACCACACCCACTCCACAAACCCCGGAGCCAACACTGAGCCTTCCCGTCAAGTTGAACGACAACTTTAGTTTGTTTCAGTGCGTGTGCTTCTTTTGTATGAGGAGGGATTGGAAAAAAAACATAACACATCCACATTACCGGTAGATAAAAATAACAAACCTCTAAAGAAGATGCTGTTTGCGGAAGGTGTTTTTTTTAGCTTGTGTTTTTGACTAATGGCAAATAAAATATAAATTTCAAGTCCATACAACTACAATTATTAAAAAAAAGGACTTGCATTCCTTTTTAATCTCTGTAAAAACGACAGCGAGTGCTGTTTGACATTCAAACCTGAGCGCATCAACCTCCAGTCCTGACAGGCTAACTTGCTAGCTGCTACTAAAAAAAAAACACTTTTACAGAATAGCGGAGCAACAACTATTACCTTGTTAATGAGGGTATATCCTCCACGAAGTAAAGGCTTTGTATCCTAGACACAAATAAAACAGTTTAACAGTCAGTTTGTCTTATACCGGAGTGCGTTTATGAGCTTCTCTTGCCACCTCACTCCCCTCCTGTCGCACCATAATCTGACGATTGATTGAACGTCGTTCCTGGCGTCTGATTGGCTTAAACCTAGTCACGTGGGGCGTCAGCTCCGCCTGCGTGACAACGAGCAGAAAAATGTTAGAATTACCAAAATAAAAGTCGGTGAAGAAAAAAAATAAATACATGATGCAATTTCTATATTATGACAAGTGACTATAAATTCAATCCACTCGATTATTTAATTCATTAGATTTTTATTCACAAAAAATATCACGAATTAAAAATATGATTTGCCTTTCACAGCATGCACATTAAAGAAAAAGGTATGGAAGCCCATTTCTGACACTCAGGAAAAAAAAAGATCTTTGAAGTCATATTATAATAAAGTATCTCATAATCAAGCAATGCTATCTCCAAATAACAACTTAGTGTCTCATTTGCCAAGTCATTATTTTGAGATACCAAATCCTAAATATAATTTGTCACAAATAATATTATGAAATGCAAAGTCATCATTTAAAGAAATTAAAACCTAATTTTGAGAGTTTCTCGTGATTATGAGATGTTAACCACATTTGAGAACCTAAGCCAGTTTTGAAGTAGCATCTTCTTACTGCAACACATATTCAAATTATTATCATGTAATGCCAACTCATAACTGAAAATACCTATTATGAATTTGAGATAGGAATTCTAGTGGGAGATGCTGAGTTTTAAGAGATACTGTTTTTGATGCTAAAATTGTAGTTATGTTGTATATCTTATTATGACTTAATATTTATTTTTATTCAGCAGCAAAAATGTGCTTACTTACATGAGAACCCAAGTGGAAAAACATTTTATAAAGCTATTATTACAAAAATAAATACATTTAAAAAAAATCCAACTCCATAATTCCATCCCACCCTCCCAAAGTTGTCCTCTTGTTGGGTTTTCTGATCTCAATGTCAGAAATCCCTTCAAGTAATTCAAAAAGATTCAACTTGCGATAAAGAACATTTATCTTCAGGGACACAAAGTAGTTTACCTCGGCTCAATTATTGGGCCAGCTTTAGTTATTAGATTTTATTACATCATTTCAAATTCTATATTTGACTAGATCAACTGGGATCAAATATTGCAAAGTATAAGGAAAGAAAAGCCCAACAATACAGTAAAAGACAAGTCTTTATTTTCACAATTAAAAAACAAAACAAATTTTGGTAAATGATACAAATTTTACTGAAAAAAAACCAAACAATTTACAACAGAGGCTTTAAAGGTACTATTGTTTGCCTTTCAAACAGGTAGAACAAGTAGGTGAGGATTTGCACTGACCAAACGTGCACGACAAGTACACAGCAGGAGGATGACAGCACAGTGGCTGATGACATGAAACCAAAACTGTTTTAATTTCCATAACACTAGACTTTGTCAAACTGTTTCTTGGGTTGATTTTCCTATAAAATAGCACAAATATAAATGAGCATGCTGTACGAAATGTAACTGATGCGAGTCCTTTTTTCAAACAGGAAGTGGCTGACCCTACGGCGTTTCACGGTGGTTTTAATCGGTGACCTTTAACTAAACCTTGTAAGGCACCACTTGAATTGAACTGGGACAGCAGGTCTGGTGTGTGAATGGTCCCAAGTGGAATGGCAATTATTTGTTTTACTTTGAAAAGAAAAGGGTGGTAGTTCTTATTTTGCAAGTTCCAGAAGAAAAAAAAAAAAGAAAAAAGAAGCGAATGGCAAAAATGACGAATAAATAATTTACAACTGAGTCAGTTAAAAAAACGGAGGAAGACAAAGGTCCTCTGGCATTCTTCTGCATACATTTAGGGAAACACAGTACTGTAAATATTATTAGACTCGGGGGGGATGGGGACACATACAGTTCAACATTCAACTCAAATGTACAATTCTGTATGGAAAAGAATTTTTAAAAAATTAACGTTTTGGCAAAAAAAGCCCATTAAAACCTGGATAGAGAGAGAACAGCATTGACTTCCAGACGACCTGAGGTCATACTTCCACGGGAAAAACTTTCCTGGGGCGGCATCTTCTAGAAGAATCTTTCAGATGTATAACTGCTTAAAAAATAATAATAAACCCACATTCATTACTGACCAGCTTTATAAAGCCTGAATCAATTTTAAAGTTTAGCTCACATTTAATACAAAGTCAATTTGGATAATTGCGACACGCTGTAATCAGCTGATATAAACACTTTAAAAAAAAGCTTTCAAAAGTGCTTTTGTGTATTTATTCATAGTTAAAGCCTATGAAATACGCTTACCAGTCTGTTAGTGTCAGTGTGTGTGTGTGTGTGTGTGTGGGGGGGGGGGGGGGTGACTAAAAGGAGTCAATTCAGTAATTTATAAATCTATTGAAAAGAACGAGGGGCAGATATTGCAACACACTCAGGAACATGAGCATCACAAGGTGACTCGGTCCAATTTTATTAAATGCCAGGATGCATTTGCCTCTCAGATTTTATTTTTTACTTTAACCAAACTGGAAAAAGAAGGGTCCTGAATCTGGAAAGAAAGAAAATAGTATATTTTTTTTAAATAATGTACATATTTTTAGCAAATGTTTTCATGCTTATTCTGAATGTACAAAAGCATACCTGAATTGGAATCGAAACTAAATCCTCCGTTATGACCACCGAAGAAAGCCCTGAAGATGTTGTTTGCATCAATATCTGTACAGAAACAAACAAAAAAAGAACAGAAATATTAAAATTTGTGAATAATTGTAGTTTATAACGACACCACTGACAATAAAAATGACACTACTGATTTAAATATAGATATCTACAAAGTTGTTCTACACAATGCACATAAACTTTACAACTTTCCACAAACCCTGAACATTTACTCATAAAGACTCCATCATCTTTAACCCCCCCAATAACTAAATATTTTATGGCTTTAAAATTGCCAAACATCACATACATAATATGCTGCAATTACTGAGTTTTGGGGTTGTGGCGCCCTCTACAGGTTGAACTAATAAGTGAGCCACTTCATGCTAATAAGAATAATAAAATATCTGGGTTGATGCAAAAGCTTGCCATCATGTGCATGACCAGACTGAAACAAAATCCTAGAAGCATAAAATAGATATTATTAATTTGTTTATTTATTGTACAAACGTGACGTTTATTTTAAGAAATGAAGAGTTTGTATTTTTAGGAGCCTAACACAAAACAAACACATTTTTATACAAACATTGGCTGCAAATTTAACCCTGAAGCTTTGTTTCAACTAACTGATTTACTTGTAGACAAAGCACAGGAACTGTATAACCAGAGCAAACTATTCTGTGTTCAGTGTAGAAGAAAACTAATGTTAGACAAAAGTCAAAAACCTTCACATAAAAACAAAAACACAGTTTATCTATCAGTAATGGTCCTCTTCTCCTTTAAAAATCACCCGTGAACTTTGTACCCGTGTTCTGTAACGGTGTGAAAACCTGACGAGCATCAGTCCTGATTAAAAAAAAAAAAGTCTTTAAATTTTTTAAATACTCAGCGTTTTATGAAGAAATGCACATTGTTCACAACTTTTCATTCCAGCGTTTTAGACTAAGATCATTTTTGGATGACAAATGTCAGATATTATAACATGCACAATCTGTTAGCAGTAGCTGGGAATGACTCTCGGCTACTACAAGAGCAAATTTTAGCTCAATACTTGTCAAATGAACTGTTAGTCATTTTTGTGTTTGCTAAGGATAAATTAGCTGTGATGGCCATCTTGAAAATGAGTGATTACAAAAGTTTTAGGTTTACCGTCTGAGTTTTATTCAAACAACTAGAGAAATTGCATTTTTGTGAACGCTTATTGCAGAAGAACTTGCTGAAAAACAGCTGAAATCTAAAAAAACAAACAAACAAAAAAAAAACCCAACCATGCTGACTTGTAACTTAAATGGAAGAAAAAAAGTCCAAGTAGAAGAAAGCAGAAAAAACACATGGGCTGAAGAAGAAATGAGCACAAAAATTAGGAAATTAGCTGAAAAAAGAAAAAGGTGAAATTAGCTAAAAAATAGCTGAAAAGGTAGAAAGGAGCTTAAACTACCAGAAGGAAGTGGAAGGAACTGAAATGAGCTCATAAAATGTGGAATTAGCTGAAAAAGCTAAATTTAGCACAAAAACAGCTAAATAGTAGCTGAAATAGTTGAAAAAGATGAAATGCTGAAAAATGCTGAAAGGAGCATAACAAGCTGAAAATAGCAGGAATTACTACAAAAAACAGCTGAAATTAGCTTAGAATGCTAAAATGTAGCTGAAAAGGTAGAACAAGCTTAAATTAGCAGAAGAAAGCAGAAAGAACAAATGTTTGCCCAATTAGGCTGAAAGAAGCAACAATGAGCACAAAAAGCGGAAATTATCTGAAAAAAGCTGAAATTAGAAAAAAAACAAAAAAAAACAGCTGAAAAGTAGCTAAAAAAGCAGAAAGAAGCTTAAATTACCAGAAAGAAGTAGAGAACACGTGTGCTGAATTAGGCTGAAAAAAGTTGAACTCAGTGCAAAATATGTGGAAATAGCTGAAAAAAGGGAAAATTTGCATAAAACAGCTAAATAGTAGCTGAAATAGCAGAACAAGTTGAAACTTGCAGAAATAAGCTGAAAGGAGCATAAGAAGCTTAAATTAACAGAAAGAAGTTAGAAGAAGCACAAAAATGTTGTAGTTAGCAGAAAGAATCTGAAAGGAGCACAAAACAGCTGAAAAAACAGCTGAAATTAGTTGAAAGTAGCTGGAAAAAAGTTTAAATTTGCACAAGGAAGCTGAAAGAAGCTGAACCAGAACAAAATGTGAAAGGAGCAGTAAAAGGTTTAAACAGATCTAGAGATTTGAAGGATGTTAAATGAGCTCAATTCATTTTCTGTGACAAAAAAAGTGGCAGAAAAGGCTAATAAATATTCCAAAAAGCTAAAATTGCACCAATACCAAAAGGATTGTCCTGAATGAGCTGAACATTTTGATATGATTTGTTGAAATAGCACAAAAATTGTGGAACGAGAAAGATGCTGAAAAAAGCACGGAAGAAAAAAAAAGGATCACACCAGTGTGAAAGCTTCATAAACATTCACACAATTAGTGGACAAAGATATTTTCCTTACAAAGACACACACACCCTGCCTCCAAAAGGCGGTCAATACTGACTAAAGCGTTTTACCTCCACCATCGAAGCCGCCATCATCCTCCAGGTCATGCCCACTATCGTAGCGGGTCTTCTTCTTCGGATCAGAGAGGATGGTGAAGGCTTCACCCACTTCTTTGAACTTTTTCTCCTCCTCCTTTTGCACCTCTGGAGTTGCTGCACTGTGGCGGTCTGCAGAACACATTACATATAAGTTGACTCTTTTAGATGAAAAACAAAACAATCTATCTGCTAGCAGGCCTTTGCCATCTGTTTGACACCTGGGTGATGCATGAGGGCCCTCTTGCGGTACGCTTTTTTGATCTCGTCCTCGGTGGCGTTCTTGCCCACGCCCAGCACCTTGTAGTAATCTTTCCTCTTGCTCTTCTTCAGCTCCAGCTGTGCCGTCTTTAGCAGCTGCTTGTGTTCTGAAGCGTCGCAGACACACAAACTGGGTTAAGTGTGTGAACCTGTACACAACATCCTGAACACATGTGGTGCATCTTACCTGAAGTTTTTTCAGTCTGGTAAACCTTTTCATAGTCCCGTACAGCCTCTTCATACTGCTCAGTGTCCATGTAGCACTGAGCTCTTCTTAAGTAGGCTTTGATGTAAGACTCGTCTAGCTTGATTGCACTGGTACAGTCTTCGATGGCTTCGTTAAGCTTCTTCAGCTGTGGAGACGTTGGAACAGTTAATGACGTTTAACTGACTGAAGGTGAATGGCGAGAACTAATACTTACAGCTATTTCTAAAAGCCTCCCACACAGTTGTTGGGTTTTATGATGAAACTCTCACAGCCTGTGGAGTAATATTAAGGTGTATTACTTAATCTGACATGTTGCCGTTTACCTTAGCGCCTGCCGTGGCTCTGTTGCAGTAGAGTTTGGAGTTGGTCTTGATGTTGTTGGGATCGATCGCCAGCGCCTCGGTATACAGCAGGTAGGCAAATTTGTAGTTGTTGTTCTTGAATGCTTTGTTACCCTCCTCCTTCTTGGCCTTTAAAGCTTTGGCGTTCTGATTGGGTGAGAAAAAAAACACACTCAATTTTTGTCTTGTAACATTTAAAGAATTAAAAGTTAAACTGAAGCCCAACAAAGGCACTTCTTTTTTTTTTAATTTCAGCAAGTTTGGTCATAAAAACCCATAATGAGCTACTTGTTTATGCGTGAAAATTAGCTTTTCATTCCAAATATTCTCGAAAACCATTTCATATTTTGCTTCTATCATAATAAACTAAGTTGAAGTTGAAAAGGCATCTCATTGGAAAAAGCCCATAAAAAACACTAATATCTGAATTTTGTAGTCTCTAAGACAGGGGTGCCCAAAGTGGGGCCCGCGGGTCAAAGTTGGCTCGCCAAGCTGTCTTCATTACTACATTAAAATTTCCTTTGAAGAATCAATGTGTTTACACTCAAATCATTCCAAATTTAATGTTAGATGGAAAGTTGGCCCAAGACTAGTGTAATGACACTACACAGCTGGAGTGACTCATTTGTGCATTAATTTTTAAAATTTTAAATAATTTATATTTTATTTTGACAGACTTCATACTGTTTCTCAGCAGTTTCTTGCTGCTGAATATTTCCTTTGACAAAGCTGTGCATCATGTAGGTGCCCGTCACACATCCTTCTTGAGCACCCCTAACTTTTAACTCAGCATCTCTGAAAAATTAAGAAACCATCATTAGGATTTTGTAAGAAAACAGTTTTCAAACCTTAGATTCACCAAAAATATTGAATAAATGTTGAATAAATATGGAATAAACGACAACAGTCTCAAATGGGCCAGTAAAATCTAATTTTTTTTGCACGAGTCACACCACCTGTCAATCAATCCAGTAGGCATGTCAGCAACTGACCAGTCAGCTGCAGCGGTGTTTCATTAAGAAAGCTTTGCAGTTAGAGTTCAATAATAACAGAGTTTACATGTTTTGTTTCATGTTAATCTACTGTAATAAACCTTTGTAAAATACACCAAAATGCAGGAAATGGCATCTACTTTATTCAAAATTCTCTGGGGGAGGACCCCGAGATCCCGCCCACCACCAATGCAGCCTGTTCTGTAATGATCTTTACACAGAATAGAAGGATAAACAACTGTATGATAAATAATTATTTGCATTTCATGTACAGTGGGGAGAACAAGTATTTGATACACTGTTGATTTTTCAGGTTTTCCCACTTGCAAAGCTTGTAGATGACTGTAATTTTTATCATAGGTACTCTTCAACTGTGAGTGATGGAATCTAAAACAAAAATCCAGAAAAATACAATGTATGATTTTTAAATAATTAATTTCCATTTTATTGTGTGAAATAAGTATTTGATACACCAGAAAAATGAAACTTAATATTTGGTACAGAAACCTTTGTTTGCAATTACAGAGATCAGCCGTTTCCTGTAGTTCTTGACCAGGTTTGCACACACTGCAGCAGGGATTTTGGCCCACTCCTCCATACAGATCTCCTCCAGAGCCTTCAGGTTTCGGGGCTGTCGCTGGGCCACACGGACTTTAAGCTCCCTCCAAAGATTTTCTATGGGATTCAGGTCTGGAGACTGGCTAGGCCACTCCAGGACCTTAAGATGTTTCCTACGGAGCCGCTCTTTAGTTGCCCTGGCTGTGTGTTTTGGGTCGTTATCATGCTGGAAGACCCAGCCACGACCCATCTTCAGTGCTCTTACTGAGGGAAGGAGGTTGTTGGCCAAAATCTCACGATACATGGCCCCATCCATCCTTCCCACAATATGGTGCAGTCGTCCTGTCCCCTTTGCAGAAAAGCATCCCCAAAGAATGATGTTTCCACCGCCATGCTTCACGGTTGGGACGGTGTTCTTGGGGTTGTACTCATCATTCTTCTTCCTCCAAACATGACGAGTGGAGTTTAAACCAAAAAGTTCTATTTTTGTCTCATCAGACCACATGACCTTCTCCCATTCCTCCTCTGGATCATTCAGATGGTCATTTGCAAACTTCAGACGGGCTTTGACATGCGTTGGCTTGAGGAAGGGCACCTTGCGTGCACTGCAGGATTTTAATCCTTGACGGCGTAGAGTGTTACTGATTGTTTTCTTTGAGACTGTGGTCCCAGCTCTATTCAGGTCATTGACCAGGTCCTGCCGTGTAGTTCTGGGCTCATTCCTCACCTTCCTCAAGATCAATGATGCTCCACGAGGTGAGATCTTGCATGGCGCCCCAGACCGAGGGAGATTTTCCGTTATTTTGTATTTCTTCCATTTTCTAATAATTGCACCAACTGTTGTTGCCTTCTCACCAAGCTGCTTGCCTATTGTCCTGTAGCCCATCCCAGCCTTGTGCAGGTCTACAATTTTATCCCTGATGTCCTTACACAGCTCTCTGGTCTTGGGCATTGTGGAGATGCTGGAGTCTGATTGATTGAGTGTGTGGACAGGTGTCTTTTATACAGGTCACGAGTCCAAACAGGTGCTTCTTAAAGAAGAACTAACATGTCTGTGAGAGCCAAAATTCTTACTGGTTGATAGATGATCAAATACTTATTTCACACAATAAAATGGAAATTAATTATTTAAAAATCATACATTGTATTTTTCTGGATTTTTGTTTTAGATTCCATCACTCACAGTTGAATAGTACCTATGATAAAAATTACAGCCATCTACAAGCTTTGCAAGTGGGAAAACCTGAAAAATCAACAGTCTATCAAATACTTGTTCTCCCCACTGTATTATATCATTGCATTTGGCCCACAGCCTTCTGATAAGATTTAAAATTTGGCCCCATCAGATAAAAGGTTTGGGCACCCCTGCTCTAAGAGTTTTTGAGCCACAGCACACACTAAGCTAACGTTTGAAAGATTTGCAAATATTTATAGTATCTGTCTTACACTAATTATTTTTCAAAGTACAGTAGTCCCTTGCTTCTTTGCAGTACGTTTCGCGGACTCGATTTATCATGGTTTTTTAAAATAAGACTGGACATGACGCAAAATTGGCTGACTGATGGATGAGCCGCACGATCAGCATGAAATTTTTATTTAAAATAAATTATTTAGCAAGTGTTGTACCTGTGTGAAGCCCACACTGCAGGAGAAACCTCCTCCTGCAGCATGTCAGATCTCCTCTCTGCAGCAGAGAAGTGGGCGTGGACGAGAGCGCTGGCGGCAGAGAGCAGCCGGAGGCAGAAAGCAGCCGGCGGCAGAGAGCAGCCGGCGGCAGAGAGCAGCCGGCGGCAGAGAGCAGCCGGAAGGCAGAGAGCAGCCGGAAGGCAGAGAGCAGCCGGAAGGCAGAGAGCATGACATGCTGTGCTCCTTTAAAGCGTTTAGTTTAAACATTGTTTAGAATATCGCAAGTGTGGGAAGGGTTTAAAACACCTTATAT